GGCATATACTTCGACACCAACACGCCTGTGTGTGCATATGCTGAGGAACTGACTCGTGCCACCTCCCTACCTTGTTCTTCTGTCCTCATATCCCTGCTTATCCAGCAGCCGCCAAGAGCAGCGCCTAGCAACACTTAGCGGGCCTGCTGTCAAGACTGGAAGCGTGTAAAGTTATTAGTAATACATATATTAGTAACGGCGGGGAAAAGGCGAGGGGCCGTCTACTTACTGCAATGGAGATTAGCCTTGCGACCATGGAGGTGTGCTCATTTCTCTCCTGGTTCTGTTGAAATTTAAAAGAAAGAAGAGGGTTGCACTAGCAAGAATGAGGATACAAATAGCAAACCCTAGAAGGGTTGTACTCGCTATAGAGCACCCCACTACAGGCTAGAGCATAATATTCTGACACACCCCCATAGCCAAAGTGGGGTGTAATCAGCAGAGCAAGCAAAGCAGTACAAGCTCAGGGTGGATCACAATGTCACCACACATTCTGAGCACAAGTTCAAGAAGCAATAGTTTAAAGTTCACAATTATGAGCAAAGCTAGTGATAGTCACAACGGGCAAGTGAGGAGGAAAGAGACTATGAGAGGAGAGGAGGTAGTGGGCGGCAGCTGAAGCTGCTGGCACACGGCGCAACTGGAGCAACTGGCACACGGGCAACTGGAGCAACTGGCACACTGGCAACTGGAGCAACTGGCACACGGGCTACTGGAGTAACCGGCTCCGCGGCTAAAAGTAGCGGCAGACGAGCAACGGACTCACGGGCGACTGGAGCAACGGGCTCACGGGCGACTGGCGCAACGGGCTCACGGGCGACTTGCGCAACGGTCTCACGGGCGACTGGAGCTGCTGGCTTCACGGCGGCCACCCCCTTCAACCTCCCCAAACTATCCCACTCCCCCTGACACACACCCGTTGTTACACCGCTAGCTCCACTCCCCCTTCACCCCCCCTTAGTACCACTCCAACGGCTCCAACAAGTCCACCCCCCCTCAGCGGCAGCTGCAGCACAGGGAGACGGAGGAGGAGGAGGAGCAGGGAACGGCACACAGTGGCTTCACCCCCATACCCCTCACCCCCAAACCCTAATTCAGGAGAACGGGCTGTAGGAGGGGTGGGGCGCCAGTAGAAGCGCGGGGGACAGCGGGGAGGGCAGGGGCAGCGAGGAAAGGGCCGCCCACGGGCCTGGCACAGCCGCCCGAACCGCGCGCAGGCGGCCCGAGCCGCGCGCGGGCCTGGCGCAGCCCGTACGGGCCGCGCGCGGGCCTGGCGCAGCCCTTACGGGCCGCGCGCAGCCTGTACGGGCCGCGCGCAGGCCACGACGGGCGACGGGGGGCGACGCGCGGGTCCCCGTCGCCCGTCGCAGCGCCTCCCGAGGGCGACGCGCCGAGTGACGGGGCAGAAGCCCGCCGCGCGCCTCAGGGCGCACAGCGGGCAGAGAACCGCCGCGCGCCACAGGGCGAACGGCGGGCAGAAAACTGCCGCGCGCCTCGGGGCGCACGGCGGGAAGAAAAACTGCCGCACGCCACGGGGCGTGCGGCACAGAGAGTAGCAGTGGAAGTTGCAGCGGAAGCAACGAGGTGGTGAGCCCACCCACATGATCGATCCAATGGGATCGACCTGCTCTGATAGCATGTTGAAGTTTAAAAGAAAGAAGAGGGTTGCACTAGCAAGAATGAGGATACAAATAGCAAACCCTAGAAGGGTTGTACTCGCTATAGAGCACCCCACTACAGGCTAGAGCATAATATTCTGACTGGTTCTTCTTCATGCCAAGTGGGTGTGCTAGCGTTCTCTATGTGGGTGTTCATGGATATGTTGTTTATCCTTTGTTGGGTGGGTGCTTGCTTGGATAAGGTGGATTTTAGACGATTTACCTGGATGGATGTCAATCAGCCACAAAATGCATCTTATTGCAGCAACTTCTGTCCCCTGAGAATATGTTTGAAACAAAAATCTTAGTAGGAGATGAAGGCACCCCACTTCTTAGCAGCGCGTAGGAAGCGGCAGCGTCTAAAGCATGCTTGCGGAAAATAATATGGACTAACACAGCAAGTACGACGCGAACTTATGCTGTTACCTTGAGTGCTATTAAATTCGCGCCATACTGCACTTAGGGATTACTAAGCTGGAACAATTAGGGAGGTAGTGAGGAATTACTAAGGGATTTATCATCCATTCGGTCATGGGGCACTCCACTTGCGAACTCGATCGAGTTCGCGGCGTGTGGCGAAACCTTTCGCTATTGTCTTAGGGATCAAGCATTTCTGTACTGTTTCATTGATAGGTGTAACCATAATCCACTTAGGAGGTTTGGTTCGTTCAGACCGACATCAAATCTTGTGAGCACCGAACCGAGTACAGAGTCGACCCGATCTTCTGAAACCAAGATTGCGAGTTCGGGTCGGTTCGTGTACTCCCAATCTTCTGTAACCAATATTTACCATCTTCATCAGCTTTGCTGACGCAGCCTCATACGACCCGAATTGTGGCACGAACTTCAAGGCGCGTCCCCCTTCTGACGATCGATCGGCAGAACACCATCTGTGAAGTTCCTAACCGTACCCAAACAAGATAACTGCCGCGAGTATTTCTGTAGAACGCAAAACACATTATCGAACCGCATTCAATCGAACCTACGAGTCACGCCGACGATGTCTCCATCCCAAATCCTCATCCTTCATTCCCATGCCTGCTGGTCTTCATTCCCCACCCACCAATTGGTTCGTCGAACCGCGACTTCGGAGTGCATGCTAATTGAACCATACCTTCTTACTAAGCCATACAATTTTCGAACCGCACGATCGCCGTCATGTTCAAAAAGCCTAGCGACGTTCGCGGACAGCAGCGTCTGTCAGGAGCGGACAGAAAGAAGCTTCGGCGAAACATCCGAGACAAGTTTCCAGGCGCCACTGAGGAGCAGCTGGACGCGATCCTGCCGCCCAAGGTGCTCCTTAGTAGCGATCCTGCCGCCCAAGGTGCTCCTTAGTAGCGATCCTGCCGCCCAAGGTGCTCCTTAGCGATCCTGCCGCCCAAGGTGCCGCTCCTTAGTAGCGATCCTGCCACCAAAGGTGCTGCTTAGTAGCGATCCTGCCGCCCAAGGTGCTCCTTAGTAGCGATCCTGCCACCCAAGGTGCTGCTTACTAGTAGCGATCCTGCCACCCAAGGTGCTGCTTAGTAGCGATCCTGCCGCCCAAGGTGCTCCTTAGTAGCTTCTTGTCGTAACCTCCGTATCACCCTCCGCCGATTACACATTGGCCTACGCGATCCTGCCGCCCAAGGTGCTCCTTAGTAGCTTCCCGCTTAACCCTCGTATTAGTACCCCCGCCGTTCACTCTCCACGTAGGCCCACGCAATCGCCACCTGATAACCCGCGTGTTGAATCCTCGCCGTTCATTGTGACCACCTCGTCCTTAATCCGCTCTGGTGCTTGCGCTCTCCGAATCCCCCGCTCTCTTTAGTGGTGTAGTCTTTTCGGAATTCCGAGTATCTTTCACGAAACTCCCCTCGGTTTGTTTGCCCGGTCCAGGCTGACGTGTCGGTGACGAGGCTGGTGAATCGCGTGCTGGTGTACGGACTCGAGAACGGGCTGCCCATGCTCTTCGACTGCGACGGCAGGGGCACCGAAATATACCCCACTGGTAACCACATGGAGATGTAACCACACAGATACCCATCCCCCCCTCCCTTGATCGCGTGCTGGTGTATGGACTCGAGAGCGGGCTGCCCATGCTCTTCGACTGCGACGGCAGGGGCACCAAGATCTACCCCAATGGTAACCACACGGTCATGTAACCACACCGAGATCTACCCCACTGGTAACCACATGGCCGTGTAACCACACCGATGTAACCACACAGATACTCATACAAACCTTTCCGCTCTTCCCTCCCTCCCTCCCTTCCCCGCCCCCTCCTCTTTCTCGCCCTCCTCCGCTCTTCATGACTTCAATCGTGTGGTTTGATCTTAGCCCTTTCCTCCAAATCTCCTTATTTGTTGTTCCTGCCGTCCATAGCACGTGCTTCCTGTGCGCCCTCCATTCCCGTCCCATGCTATCATTTCAATCACCTTCACCGCAGCTCAACAGCCACCTGCTGTTCACCCTCCTCATCTTAAACCCTGAATCCCTCAATTCCGGACCTTCAACCTTATACCCTCAATTCCTGCCTCTCAAACCCAGTCCTGAAACCCCATCCTCAATTGTTGCGATGTGGCTTGTGCCTGACCTGGTGCCGTCGTTCCTGCTTAAAAGCAGGGAGGTGATATTTGAATCGAATCTACTAGGAGATAGCTGAAATTGCAAACTTGTGACCTTAAGCTCGACATTTGAACCCGAAACCCTGCAACCCGTACTTCATCCCCAATTGTGGCGATGTGGCTTGTGCCTGACCTGCTGCCGTCCTTCCTGCTCAAGGGCAGGGAGGGAGGTGATGACTTTTAAGTTGACGCAACAGTTGCCTTAAACCCCGAAACCCTGAACCCCTGTCAACCCAACCCTCATACCCCATCCCATCCCAGTGTTTGCGCTCTGGCTTGTTCCTGACCTGCTGCCGTCCTTCCTGCTCAAGGGCGGGGAGGTATCTCGCTACGTGCTGTCAGGGGCTGACCTTATGGCGTCAGGCGTTTAGGTGAGTCAGAGTGAGGTGGGGGTTTAGGGTATTGCGAAGGTGGGAGGGATTCTAGGGTGCAGCGTTCTGTTTTTGCCGTTGTCCCGCTACGTGCTGTCAGGGGCTGACCTCATGGCACCAGGCATGCAGGTGAGAGTGAAGGGAGGGTTGAAGGAATAGTGTAGTAGGTTACAGGGCGAGGGTGTAGTGTAGCTTCTACTGCTTGAAAGGTCTCCGCTACTTGCTGTCAGGGGCTGATATCAAGGCGCCACGTGTGCAGGTGAGTTTACTTGGATTCTATTCAAAAGTTCCCCCTTTCGGTTCGGTTCTCCTGAAAAATGTCTTCTCCTGCACCCCTCTGCACCCCTCTGCATTCCTCTGCCCGCCAGTGGCCTGCGGAAGGCCTGCCAGAGTTCCGACCAGGGGAGGTGTGGTCCGTGAAGGTTCCAGGAAACTCCTGCCCCATAGCGGTAAGTGCGTGATGCTCAATTGCCCTGCTACATGCTGCTACATAGGCTTGTGCGATCTTGTCCATATGTGCATGTGCACCATGTCCCATATGTGCATGTGCATGTGCATGTGCACCATGTCCCTCATGTGCAGGTGCATGTGCACCATATCCCATATATGCATGTGCATGTGCACCATATCCCATATATGCATGTGCATGTGCACCATATCCCATATATGCATGTACATGTGCACCATATCCCATACATGCATGTGCATGTGCACCATATCCCATATATGCATGTGCATGTGCACCATATCCCATATATGCATGTGCATGTGCACCATATCCCATATATGCATGTGCATGTGCACCATGTCCCACATGTGCATGTGCATGTGCACCATATCCCACATATGCATGTGCATGTGCACCATATCCCATATATGCATGTGCATGTGCACCATATCCCATATATGCATGTGCATGTGCACCATATCCCATATATGCATGTGCATGTGCACCATATCCCATATATGCATGTGCATGTGCACCATGTCCCATATATGCATGTGCATGTGCACCATATCCCATATATGCATGTGCATGTGCACCATATCCCATATATGCATGTGCATGTGCACCATATCCCATATATGCATGTGCATGTGCACCATATCCCATATATGCATGTGCATGTGCACCATATCCCATATATGCATGTGCATGTGCACCACATATCCCATATATGCATGTGCATGTGCACCACATATCCCATAAATGCATGTGCATGTGCACCATATCCCATATATGCATGTGCATGTGCACCATATCCCATATATGCATGTGCATGTGTACCATATCCCATTTATGCATGTGCTCCATATCCCACATATGCATGTGCATGTGCACCATATCCCATATATGCATGTGCATGTGCACCATATCCCATATATGCATGTGCATGTGTACCATATCCTATATATGCATGTGCATGTGCACCATGTCCCATATATGCATGTGCATGTGCACCATGTCCCATATATGCATGTGCATGTGCACCATATCCCATATATGCATGTGCATGTGCACCATATCCCATATATGCATGTGCATGTGCACCATATCCCATATATGCATGTGCATGTGCACCATATCCCATATTTGCATGTGCATGTGCACCATATCCCATATGTGCATGTGCATGTGCACCATATCCCATATATGCATGTGCATGTGCACCATATCCCATATCTGCATGTGCATGTGCACCATATCCCATATATGCATGTGCATGTGCACCATATCCCATATATGCATGTGCATGTGCACCATATCCCATATATGCATGTGCATGTGCACCATATCCCATATATGCATGTGCATGTGCACCATATCCCATATATGCATGTGCATGTGCATCATATCCCATATATGCATGTGCATGTGCACCATATCCCATATATGCATGTGCATGTGCACCATATCCCATATGTGCATGTGCATGTGCACCATATCCCATATATGCATGTGCATGTGCACCATATCCCATATATGCATGTGCATGTGCACCATGTACCATATATGCATGTGCATGTGCACCATATCCCATATATGCATGTGCATGTGCACCATATCCCATATATGCATGTGCATGTGCACCATATCCCATATATGCATGTGCATGTGCACCATATCCCATATATGCATGTGCATGTGCACCATATCCCATATATGCATGTGCATGTGCACCATATCCCATATATGCATGTGCATGTGCACCATGTCCCATATATGCATGTGCATGTGCATCATATCCCATATATGCATGTGCATGTGCACCATATCCCATATATGCATGTGCACCATATCCCATATATGCATGTGCATGTGCACCATATCCCATATATGCATGTGCATGTGCACCATATCCCATATATGCATGTGCATGTGCACCATATCCCATATATGCATGTGCATGTGCACCATATCCCATATATGCATGTGCATGTGCACCATATCCCATATATGCATGTGCATGTGCACCACATATCCCATATATGCATGTGCATGTGCACCACAGATCCCATAAATGCATGTGCATGTGCACCATATCCCATATATGCATGTGCATGTGCACCATATCCCATATATGCATGTGCATGTGTACCATATCCCATTTATGCATGTGCACCATATCCCACATATGCATGTGCATGTGCACCATATCCCATATATGCATGTGCATGTGCACCATATCCCATATATGCATGTGCATGTGTACCGTTAGGGATGAGCAAGGGGCGAACACGAACATGTTCGTGTTCACCCCTAGACGAACACATCCGTTTGCCGAACCGAAGTTCGGTTCGGCGAACACTTTAAGCAAAAACACGTGTTCGCCGTTCGCCTGTGAAGGTGTGTTCGGGCGAACCTCGAACACGTTCGTGTTCGTCGCGGGGCAAATTGCAGCAGCGGCCCGAACACGAACGTGTTCGGGCGAACATCGAACACTGTTCGGCGAACAATTTAAGCAAAAAAAACACGTTCGAGGCGAACCGAACAGGTGTTCGCCCTTGTGCTCATGTCTATGTACCGTATCCCATATATGCATTTGCATGTGCACCATGTCCCATATATGCATGTGCATGTGCACCATGTCCCATATATGCATGTGCATGTGCACCATGTCCCATATATGCATGTGCATGTGCACCATATCCCATATATGCATGTGCATGTGCACCATATCCCATATATGCATGTGCATGTGCACCATATCCCATATATGCATGTGCATGTGCACCATATCCCATATATGCATGTGCATGTGCACCATATCCCATATATGCATGTGCATGTGCACCATATCCCATGTATGCATGTGCATGTGTACCATGTCCCATGCACACCAGGTGGGCATAACTATGGTGGGCAGTGCAGCAGAGGCCGTGAGAGCCGGCATGCATTCTCTCATCTCATATGTCTTATCTCACCCCATCCCATCCGTCCGCATGTGCATGTGTTTCCACTCCACCATTCGCCATGCCCATGCACGCAGGTGGGCATAACGATGGTGGGCAGTGCGGAGGCTGTGAGAGCCGGCATGAGAGGGAAGCTCCTCCGAATCACCCACTACTACCGCGACTCGCTCTGGTCAGCACCGCATTCCACCTTACTCTACTCTCTCTGTCCACTCACATCCTCCTTGTGGTGTCAATTCAATTCCCACCCACTCTTTCGCTGTCCGCTCACACGAGAGGTCATGAGAGCAGGCATGAGAGGGAAGCTCCTCCGAGTCACCCACTACTACCGCGACTCGCTCTGGTCAGCACAGCATGCCCACCCACTCTCTCTTTGTATCTGCTCATATGAGAGGCCGTGAGAGCAGGCATGAGAGGGAAGCTCCTTCGAATCACCCACTATTGCCATGACTTACTTTGGTCAGCAACCCCACATGTGTCCCAATACTACTGCACTCAGTATGAAATCCACCCCAATCCCCACTCACAGTATGAGATGGCAGAGGGCTCGTACGTCCCAAACAAGGGCTTCTTGCCGGACCTGGTCGTGCCTGTCTGTGCGCTGCTTGTTCTCCTGCTCTCATGCTCAACGCTTGTGCAATCCCTTTCTCTTCCGCACCAACCCACGCCCACAGGGAGACGCCTCCCCGATTCTGATGCCACGCCTGCTCTTCTCCTCCAAATGGAGCACCACCACTTGACGCCCCCACTTCCCCACCGCGCCCACAGGGAGACAGCAGAGGGCTCTTATGTGCCGAACAAGGGCTTCCTGCCAGACCTGGTTGTGCCCGACCCTGATGCCGAGCCTGTTCCGTCAGAGGGAGCAGCACCTGAAGATTCGCCTGATGATTCACCTGATGACGATTTGGGTGCTACTGGGACTGGAGGGGGGGAGGGTGAGGCCGGGCGAGGTGAGGGGAGGGGCGATGAGGAGGGAGAGGCAGGTGCGGTGATGGAGGAGGGGGCAGCAGCAGCAACAGCAGCAGCAGCAGCAGCAGCAGCAGCTTCATCAGAGCACCTGTCAGAATCTCTGCAGCATCTGGGAATACGTGACACTGCTGCTGCTGGTAATAATAATTCTGTTGGCGCTGTTGGGGGCAGCGAGGGGGAACAAAAAGCAGCAGCTGCTGCAGAGGAAACCGCACCAGCACCAGCAGAAACAGCAGCAGCGGTGGCATTGACACCGGCTCAGATGGATGAGCTATTGGATCGCTGTCTGCTGCAGGCTCTCCGTCTCTGTCAAGCCCTCCCACCTGCCGCTGGGAGCTAGCACCCTCTGGTACGCTCCCTTTGGTACCCTCTCTCTCTCTCTCTCTCTCTCTCTCTCTCTCTCTCTCTCTCTCTCTCTCTCTCTCTCTCTCTCTCTCTCTCTCTCTCTCTCTCGTAACCTCCCTCTGGTAACCTCCCTCTGGTAACCTCCCTCTGGTAACCTTCCTCTGGTAACCTCCCTCTGGTAACCTTCCTCTCAGGTGGCAATGGCAGCAGAACAGATGGATGAGCTGTTGGATCGCTGTCTCCTGCGTCGTCTTCACTCGCGGTTAGCAAGCGCACCAGCGTCTGCTGCAGGCCCTCTCCGTCTCTTTCAACTTCTCCCACCTGCCACTGGGAGCTAGCACACTCTGGTAACCTCCCCCTGAAGAGAGGCGCCTGAAAGGCTGTCTCATGTTGTGAGGCTTTAAGGGGATATCTCACATTCCTCGGCAGCTTGGGTTGTTGGTTACCAGAGTGTGCTAGCTATCCCATGTTGGTTCTCCGTGAAAGATTGCCTTGCTTGCCCCTCCCTCCCTTCCACCCCCCCTGCACGGCAGGTCCAACACGAGGCCCATGGCATGCGAATCATGTCATACCCTGATGCTTTCCCACCACCACGCATTGCACGGCAGGTCCATTCACGTGCTGCCATGTGTCTGACACAAGGCGCATGACACGTGAATCATGTGATACCCTGATGCTCTCCCACCACCACGTGCATGGCTGGCAGGTCCAATCATGTGCTGCCATGTCGGCCGCCCGGCACAACAGTGGACATCAAGAGGTCGTCTCACAAGAAGCTGAGCAAGTGGCTGCATGCCAAGGCCGTTGATGGGCTGGTGAGTGCGTGAGGGAGGGAGTGTGAGTGTGAGAGAGCGTGTGAGTATGAGTGGCTGCATGCCAAGGCGGTTGAGGGGCTGGTGAGTGAGTGAGTGAGTGAGTGAGAGTGAGGGATTGTGAGAGTGAGTGACATTCAGGGGAAAGCTTCTTGCCTGCCTGCCCCCTGATGTATGCGTCAAGTAGGATAAGCACCTGAAGGAGTTCATCTCCTCTGCTATCAACCACCCATGGCATGTTCCCACCTGTACCACCCAACCCTCCCCATTGAAGGTACTTTTGAGAATTCTCAGAAGTACCATCAACATTGCTATCAACCACCCATGGCATGTTCCCACCTGTACCACCCAACCCTCCCCATTGGACCCATCTACCCTCCCCTCCCCCCCTCCCAGATATGCGGCAAGGAGGACAAGCACCGAAAGGAGTTCATCCTCTCTGCCTGCCATTTCCTACAGGCTACCGCCACCCGACCCTTCCCATTGTACAGGCTACCGCCACCCGACCCTTCCCTTCCCTTGCACCCATCACTACTTTCGATGCACTCATCTATCTTCTCCCTTCCCTCCCCCCTCACAGATATGCGGCAAGGAGGACAAGCACCGAAAGGAGTTCATCCTCTCTGTCTTTATCCGCCAATAGCATGTACCCACCCCTTCCTTTCCGCCCTTCCCACTGCACAAATCTATATACCTCTTCCCATTACCCCCCCCCCCCCTCAGATAAGCGGCAAGGAGGGCAACCACCGAAAGGAGTTCATCCTCTCTGCTGTCAACAACCTGTGGCATCATCGCTTCTATTGCACTCATACACTGCCATCCCCCACCCCCACCCCCTTGTTCGTTGCCCTCCCAGATAAGCGGCAAGGAGGACAAGCACCGAAAGGAGTTCATCCTCTCCGCTGTCAACTACCGCCACCCGACCCTCATTGCCTTCACGCCAGACAAGACAAACAAGCCCGCCCAGACCCCTGCTGCTGCAACCCTTGACGCATCCCCAGCCGCACCTGGAGCACCGACCACCACCGCCACCACCACCACAACCACCAGCAGCAGCGGTAGCGGCAGCAGCAGCAGTGGAGGGCTGACAGTAGAGGAGGTATTGAAACCTACCCACCACGTGTCAGCCATTTTCGAAGCCGGAGGGCTCGACCCACACGCCTACTACTCCCCCTCGGCTGCCCGCGAGGCTGCTCTCACAAAGCCTTCCGACCCCTCTATAGTCATCCTCGACGCACCGCTCTGCGACGCACTGTACAAAGGCGCGATAAAAAAGGGCGCCACGTACCCCACGGAATGCCACAAGCGGGAACTGGGTCCGACTATAGTGAAGCGCATCCAGGCGCATCACAGGGTGGAGAGAGCTTCTATAGGGAAAAGCATCGTGCGCAAGGGAGGGTTGGTGCCGGTGCAGATTCTGGTGGAGAGGCGGCAGGGCAACAAGAAGGTGACGCGCGTGTCGAGGCTGGAGGCTTATCTGGTGGAGGCTGAGCCTCTCGCTGCTCAGCTGCAGAGGAAGTTTGCTTCGAGCACATCAATGGCTGAAGTGCCACGCGGGTTTTGGGTTTAGCAGGTGTGCGTGAGGGCTAACAGGGTATGTTAGTCACTGGGGCCAACAGGTGCAGGGGTAAAAGTGGTAACAGGGTTAACACGGCTAACAGGCACCAAGGGGCTACATTAACGGCGGCAGGGCAACAAGAAGGTGACGCGCGTGTCGGGGCTCGAGGCTTACCTGGTGGAGGCTGAACCTCTGGCTGCTGAGCTGCAGAGGAAGTTTGCTTCGAGCACGTCAGTCGCGGAACTACCAGGTGGGCTGGGCTCTGTAGATAGGAGGGCAGGCGGGTGGCAGGGCTGGAGGCTTATCTGGTGGAGGCTGAGCCGCTGGCTGCTGAGCTGCAGAGGAAGTTCGCCTCGATCACGTCAGTTGCTGAAGTGCCAGGTGGGTTCTTATTGGTGAGAGGGCTAACAGGTACAGGGGTAGCAGGCACCAAGGGGCTACTCTAATTGAGGCTGAACCGCTGGCTGCAGAGGAAGTTTGCCTCAAGCACATGGGTTGCTGAAGTGCCAGATGGGTTGTGTTGCAGCAGATGGGGGTAGCAGGGGTGTCGGGGCTGGTGGAGGCTTATCTGATGGAGGCTGAGCCGCTGGCTGCTGAGCTGCAGAGGAAGTTCGCCTCGAGCACCTTAGTGGCTGAAGTGCCAGGTGGGATTTGCTGCTCCAGGTGGGAGGGCTGGCAGATACGGTGGTGGCTAGCAGGGGTAACAGGTGGCAGGGCTTTGTTGGTCTGCCAGGCGGTTCAGGTGTGTAAGGTGGGCTTTCGTTGCATTGCAACAGATGGGTGGGTTCGGCTGCAGCAGGTGTATGCTTCCCTGCTCTCCCGCTCTTCTCTCACCATTCATGCACCCATGTACTCGTCCATGCTCCCATGTACTCGTCCATGCACCCATGTACTCGTCCATGCACCCATGCACGCATCACCCATCCATGCACCCATGCACGCATCACCCATCCATGCACCCATGCACGCATCACCCATCCATGCACCCATGCACGCATCCATGCACTCGTTCATGCTTCCATACAGGCAAGAAGGGGCAGCACGAGGTGCTGATTCAGGGAGGCGTGTTGGATCAACTGGCTCGGCTGCTAGTAGACGTGCATGGTATTCCCAAGTCCCATATAGAGGTACTCGATAAGACAAGGAGATGATACATGATACACCTTGTACCGTATGTGGATAAGGCAAGGAGATAACCTATGTGGATATTTTAGGCGTTTTTCGTAATGTGGCATTGATACAACCCTATTGGGGAAGGACAGGAAGGAAAGAAGGGGTAACCAGTGGAAGGAGGTTACCGGTAGTTGTTAGCAGGTTGAGATTCAAGAGAATGATGAGGATGATAAAAAATGAGGGATGGAGAGCAGCAAGATGACTTTTGAATGGACACACAACATTATTTCCCTACTTGGACCTCATGATAAACACCCCCAGACTCCAATCAACCCTCACTATCCCCTCCCTAGGAAAAGCCCAATTCTACCCTTCTCCCATAGAAAAGCCCAGGCCACTCGAGCCTGCCAACGTATCCACGCGACGCACAGGCGAACAGTGCAACCTACCCAAGAGGAAGAAAGAAAAACAAACGCAGCAGCCGAACGCGCAAAGAAGCATAACAAGAGGTTATGCCCCCCTCGCATTCACAGCTTCAACCTCGAGTCTTCAAAAAGAAATTCCCGTGAATCCAGGAGGTTCCTGCAAGTCCTTCTTGTGAGGTTGTTCGTCGTGGCTCATCGCACCCTCGGGAACTCGCCGCGAGTTAATTACTACCACGGGAATCCGTCAGGCGTGCAATCACGGGGATCGTTTCAAAAAGCGTCATCTAGTCGTCGTGGTGGTCGTCGTCGTCGTGGTCGTGATGATCGTCGTCGTCGTGGTCATGGTCGTGGTGGTGCTCCTTCTTCTTCTCCTTCTTGGGCTTCTCCTCCTTCTTCGGCTTGGGCTTGCACGACTCGGCGCACTTCTCGTACTTCTCCTCGCACATCGGCGCCTTGTACCACTTGAGGCACTGGCGGCGGCGGTACAGGCACCAGTCCTTGCACCCCCACTTGCCATACTTGCAGTTCTTGAACGACTTGTACGCCTTGCGCTCGCACACCGTCGACTGCGCCTCGCAGACCTCCTTCTCGTCCGCATTCGCCGCCTTCGCCTCGCACTTCTCCTCCTTCTCCTCGCACTTGGCGTATTTGATCTTGTACTTCTCAATGCACGTCAGCTTCTTCTTGGGTTTCTTCTCCTTCTTCTCGTGGTGGTGATGGTGGTCGTCGTCGTCATCATCATCGTCGTCGTCGTCGTCGTCGTCGTGGTCGTGGTGATCGTCATCATCATCGTCGTCGTCGTGGTCGTCGCCCAAGAAGCGCCTTGTGGTGAGAGCTGACGCGGATCCTGAAATAAAACGCGTGGCGAGAGTCAGAATTTGCACATTTTGGAATAGAAACAAACGAGCAAACAACAAACGAACAAAAAATGAATAGCAAACGCTTTGACGTAAGTCACAGCAGCGGAATGACGGTACCCACCTGAAGTGGCGACGGCGCTGGACTCCGCATAAGCGGAGGGCGCAAGCAGGGCGACCAAAATCGCGGAAATCGCGATCAGAAGAGCGAGGAGCTTCATAGAAGCCATGGTGAAGGGGTGGGGAGTGAACTGAACCTCGAAACGACGCTTGGAAGTGAATGAATGGACTGGATTTCCAGCCCCAATTTATTCTCGATTTTTTTGCCCCCAGATGTTCCTCCCTCATCAAACCTCAGGCGAAGCGCCGACATTTTGGTCTGGTCTGGTCGACGAGGGACGCGTCTCGGCTGAATATCAGCGCCGATTTTATGGGCAGTCGAGAAGAATGGTCCATGAAATGTGAAAAGTGTACCCCTGCTTCAAAATTGCTGATCGATAAATCCATGCCTTTCCACCATATTATATCTAGCGCGAAGTCGATGTTATGCCTACATATTTTACTCGATGCTATGTCCGAAAGCTACTGACTGAAACGGGCTGGTTCAGAAAAATGAACCATTACTTGAAGGCGTCACGGGAGGGCGGCGTCGCTAGCGACTCGGATTGTTGACGCGGTATCACTGCTGCCCCCTAACTGTGAGAGAAAGCCGAAAGCCATCCGATGAACTCCAGTCGACGTCTGAGATTAATTCACTATCCACCATTTAGCTGCCCGAAAAGGTGAGTACGTGGCATGCATTTCGCCTCGTTTCTCATCCTCACCAAACGACCTCCGTATAGGATTATGGGAATATATGCTTGCCTAGTGAAGCTTCTAGAACTACGAGATGCTTAGCTAAGGGCAGGTGCCCTGAAGAACAAATCTGCCTTACTCTACATGATAGCAGAAGGCCTTTATTGAAAGCGTGAAGAAATTCATACTAGAATCCTGGAATCAATACAAACACATTGCATTGCAACCTAGTCCTTTTGCATTTGCACCTAGTCCTTCTTCATTTGCAGCCCAGTGATAAAAACATTCAAACCACAGTAAACATAGTAAACTGGTCAAACCAGGGAGTGCATCATCATCTTAGGTCGAGGTGGCAAAAATGAGGATGAACAATGGATTTCAGTGGCCAGCCCAAGCACAAAGGAGGACGCCTTTTTCCAACCTAGTACTAGCCACACTGTGTCCCTGCTATGGATACTGCAAGCAAGCAACTACAGGTAACACGTAAGTTGTTGCAGCTAGCTATATTAGTCACCATGTTTCCTGGATTGGTTGCCTTACCATACTGTTCTACCTTGCAAGAACAAATTCAGCATATTTGAATGTTGAGAGGGTGTGGTTGGAAGACAAGGACACGAGGAGCCGCAGAGTGCCATACAGAGCTGACAAACATGGACCAGGGCAAAAGGACCAACAGAAAGAACGAGCATCTTAGAAAATGGAGCCAAGCGCATGAAATTTGGACTTTGAAAAGGGGTGAAAGAATGAGGTGATCCGGTAGAAGGGTTGTTGGAAGACAGGGAGTGGAGGAAGGGGAACAACGAGTGGTGGGGGGAATGGGTGAAGCTGAAATGAAAGGGTTACTAAGAAATAAAGACTTGGAGAACCAGACAGTGGTGGGAGGGAAGCGGGGGAGCGGGGCGGGGGCTAAGGGAGATGGAGTGGGGGTAGGGAGATTGGTAAGTAAATCACATAAAGGGGGAGGGCAAGTGATTGATTAAGTATATGATTCGCACGCCTCTCGAGTACAGCATGATGTTGCATCTCTTTTGCCACCCCTAGTGTTCTCACCTGTGGGTCGGGCTATCGACTTTGAGGTCTGGGTCGATGATCTGCAGCTTTTCCTGCAGTGCGATAGGAAAGACGGTCTCTCACTGTTCGATCTCACGTCTAGCGCCTCTGCTGCCCCTGCTGCCGATGCTGACAGCACTGTTCGCTCAAAGTGGGCCACACGCGATGCTGCTGCCCGTCTTGCTGTGCGTAGTCACTTGCCGTCCACTGAGCGCGCGCAATTTAGTCAGTACAAGAGTGCTAAGACCTTGTACGACGCTGTAGTTGCACACTACTCTTCCCCTGCCACTGCTGCCCTAAGTCGCCTCATACTGCCGTACCTGTTCCCTGGCCTCGCCGCCTTTCCCACAGTCGGTGACCTCATTACGCACCTTCGCAGTAGTGACACCCGCTACCGCGCTGCGCTTCCTGCTGAGTTCTGCGCCAAGAACCTCCCCCCCCCCCCCCCCCCCCCATGTACATCACCCTCTACTACCTAATCACCCGGCTCCCTTACTCCCTTCGCTCGGTCAGGGACCACTTCCTCTCTGTTTGCCCCACCACACTCACCGTTGACCTCTTCGAGGAGCGCCTCTTGGCAGTTGAGAAAAGTATAGTCGCTGTAGGAGCCTCTCGTGGTGACCCTCGTACCCCCTTCTTTGAGGGGTGCTCCCCCTCCCCCCTTCTGCCCTCTGTTGCCTCTGCTGCTGCGGTCGACCTCGTTGGCACCGAGTCGGTCGGAGCTGCGTCTGCCCCTAGCGGGAGACGCCACAACGGCAAGGGCAAGGGGGGC